CCCTCTAATTTCTCCACTGTGACGATGAACTCCGCTTCCCCTCCCCACCTTTTTTTATTTTTTTTTTTATTTTTTTTTTTCATTTCATGAGAATGCGTCTCCGTCTAAGGATATTCGTAGCATCATATTTATATCAAATTCTGAAAACTGAAGCAGAAAGAAAATAAAGACCTGGTAAAGAAAATTAGTCAGCATATTAGGAAGATGGTAAGGCCGAAATCGTTTCTACTGCGCGTCTCACTGTCAGAGAAGAAGTCACAAGGACAGTCTCTAAATCTGAATGTTTCCTAGATGTCCCAAATGTTGAGAAAAGTGTTTATATTATTATATAGAAGATTAAAACCCTCTTCCACAACCTTAGGCGTAATGGATATATATATATTTATATATAGTGCTAAACCTATATTTTATAGATCAATTGGTTCTCTGTGGGTGATATGGTCAGCATCACAGCGGCTGAATTTATTTCCCACAACTTTAACAGAAGCACATTAATTAAAAACAGAAAAAGTTCTAGTACAATGACGATTGTACAGGTTTATGTCCCCTGTAACGACAATTAGTCCTTCAGTGAAGAAGACAGAAATGTGTATTATATTATTATCAAGCACCGTCCCAAATAATGGGACGCCACTTTTTTTGTTTTGTTTTGTTGTTATTTTAAAGTATCACCTAGGCTGTAGTCGGGGGCCCTAATATAACCCAAACTATGTGTTGAACAGGGTCTCTGGGACTTTTGCCCCTGTGATCCTCATCCGAATGGTGACATTTTGAGTCACTGGGTGTTGGTCGCTCGTTGTACTGTCCTGGTGGAGGTGAACGACAAACAGCAAGACAAAATAGTTCCATAAACTTTCCGACATTTTATATAGCGTAAATAAAAGTAAGAATTTAATTGTGATGGGGGCTTTCATTTGAAGAAAATGTATCGGTAGATCATCATGGGAAGAATTATGGGGCCATTCACTGATGCATATACAGAATGTAACAGCAACAGAGAAAATCGACGTAGTCATGTCTGACTGACTGACTTTCTACCCCACTAGGACATCACACAAGCGATAAACACCCGATGACACAAAGTGCCACCATGTGGATGAGGATCGCCGTGGAGAGGTCCCAGAAACCGCGTTCAGACAATTGGCCATATGCATGGCCTGCCTATATAGCGGCCCCTGGCAAAAGCCAGGGTGGGGCTTCAAATAACAAAAAAGTTCGTCCTAATAAGGACGAAATACGTATCACGTAACACAATGATGGGAGATTTCATTGGAAGAATATGTATCGGTAGAACATCATGGGAAGAATTATGGGGCCATTCAGTGATGCATACACAGATTGTAACAGCAACAGGGAAAATCAACGTAGTCATATCAAAACTTGGTATAAATAGGTCAGTTTAGACCTGGTTTCGCAAACTGACTTCGTTCTATTCAGGAAGATAAAAAGAAGACAATCGATAGACTCAAGGGTTCTAACAAACATACACGTTGACACTGATCATAAGCCAGTTACAATTTTTTTTTTTAAAGGAACACTGAGTACAGAAAACCAAGAAGTAAAATAGTAACTGCAAATGTTTTCAACTTCTGGAGACATTAGGAGAATGTGGTTAAAGATGAGATTAAACATGAAATGAACGATTTGCCCATTTACCTTCCTGAGGAATATTCAGACATAGATTCAGAGTCGACATGTTTAAGACGGTTATGCTAGAAACACTTAAAACCAAATGGTAATCAAAACGGTAGCTCACGTGAAACGTTTAGGAACTATCTTGTGGAACAACAAGGGTAAAGACAGCCTATCCAAAAAGACGTAAATGTTTAAGAAAATGGCTTAATTCAAAATCCCATCAATACGTCCATTATAGATTAGCAAGAAAAGAAGCAATTATGGAGAAAGATGGCCACCCTCAGCAAGAACTCCCCTAAAGAAGTGTATAAACATGTACAAATTATGAGAGAAAGAGATATGTGTGTGTGTTGTCCATCAAGATGATGATGACTACTCTTTTCATCTAGTATGAGTACAAAGAGGACTGATTAGGCCGATGCGGGCCCGAGAAGTTCTTGGACAGTGAGGAAAGGGAATGAGTGTTATGCCAGGGAGGGGATCTCCTGCAGTCGCCTTTCTGTCCATCCTTTTCTTAATAAGTCTTGCAGTTCTGTTTGCTTCACATGCAGCCGTGCCCTTGTGTAGAGCTGCACGCCATGCATTTCGGTCTTGAGAAGCAGCCTCCCAATTGGTGTCATTTATCCCAAAAGCTTTAAGTGAAGACTTCAAGGTGTCCTTAAAGCTTTTCTTTTGCCCACCATGGGAACGTTTCCCATTTTGCAGCTCCCCATAGAAGAGTTTTTTGGGAGCCTGTGATCTGGCATGGTGCCATATGACCAGCACAAAATATTTGATACTGCATCAGTAGAGTGTGGATGCTGGGCATGGCTGCTTTCTCAAGGACTACTGTATCAGGTACTTTGTCTTGCCATCTGATCAGCATTAGTTTTCTAAGGCAGACAGTGTGAAAGTGGTTTAACTTTCTAGCCTGGCGCTGGTATACAGTCCAGATTGTCAACAAACCTCCTGTCACCCAGGAACAGTCCAGATTGTCAACAAACCTCCTATCAACTAGGAATAGTCCAGATTGTCAACAAACCTCCTATCACTTAGGTATAGTCTAGATTGTCAACGAACCTCATATCATGTCACCTAGGAATAGTTCAGATTGTCAACGCACCTCCTGTAACCTAGGAAAATTTTTAGAATTGGCAGCTGGAACATTATAACTTTGTACTTTGTGGGAAGGAGAGTAGACGTAGTTAGAGAAATGACAGATTCTAGAATTAGTATTTGAGGATTATACAAAGCTAGGTGGACTGGAGCGGGGAGGAAAGGGGGTGTGGAGACTTGCCTAAAAAAGCACAAAAGACCCCATATTAAAAAAAAAAAAAAGAATGTTAGGTTGGTTCAATGTCCTGTTAAGGATACGCGGCTACCATTGACGCCTCTCCAATTTCTAATGGCAGTAGAATGGATTACGAAGACAGCAACAGCTATTTACTCCTAGCATCAGCAATGGAATTTAGTGGACACCTATAAAATAACTTAAGGATCTAAACTTCGCTGATGGCATTTTTTTTTCTGTCCCACTAACGAAATTAGATGCAAGATAAAATTAAACATACTTGGTGAGATTACAATAATTATGTCTAAAACATCAGATGAACAAGACAAAGATAATCAGAGTAAACAACAAGAAGACAAATAATCAAATGAATCAGAAAGCCACCAAAGATGGCACAAGACGGTTAACATTTTATGGACAGACCAGAGCAAGTTTTTATTCTACGCCTGAGAACAATGTACAATCGACTCTGCAACCACATCTATACACAATTTAAGATGGGGAGATTATGGGTGGGAGCAGCTTATGATAGCAAATAATAGGACTACTTGAGGTGATTTGGCTAAAAGCCTATGCTCCTCTGGGGTTTTATGGCAGAAGTATAGGACATTATTTCACTCTAATAATAACTATAGACCTCGTGTTTGTTTATGCACCCCCCCCCCCCCCCACACACACACACACACACACACACACACACACACACACACCTATTTTTTTTTTTTTTTACCTTTAGGAAACTTCAGACTTAGAAGATCGTGTTCGTTGTACTCGGTTGTATCCAATATCGCTCAGTCTCTTTCCCTAGACGGCTCGCCGCCTGCCAAAAGCGTCGCACAAAGTACAAACATTTCAGCTACCAGGACGATCACCGGAAAATTCGTAACAATTACCAATCTACACTTCTCCGCGGGCCTGTCACATTTAATATATCAGCCCAGATTGCTTCAATAGGTTCAGACCAAATGCGAACGAAATAACACACCCTGCGCTGATTGATACACAGCGACGCATGATCATGACGTACTGGTTGTGACTGAGGAGGTAAGGTTGTGCACGTTATATTCTTCAAAAAAGTGACAATAAATCAGGCTGCGGTCGAAACAAATTAAAATCATACACGTTAAGTGTTTGATAATTAGACAAAAACTTCTATGAAGCCGAAGGACTAAACAGAAAAAGGTAACAGTACCAATCTTCTTTATCATCAGAATTCCGAGCTCTTGAGGTTCGTTGCTACAGATATGACCCTTCTCTGTACCAAATCTTTGTGATTGGCCTTCTCTTTCCAGTTGATGACTCCAAGTGATTGAATATTATCCCTAAACCAGTGTTTCCCTAAACTTTTCTTAGTCGCTGTGCCTTTTTTTAAATACAATTTGTCCACGGCGCCTTAACCTAAGGAAATGTATGACTATTCGTATGTAAGAGGAAAAAAAAACTCGCGTTTTTCGAATATTTCGCGGCGCCGCTGTGAAGACGCCCCCAGGGCGTCGCGGCGCACAGCTTGGCAATCACCGTCCGAAATAGTCTTCTTGGCCTGCTTCTTGTTAACAGTGCCAGTACAGTAGGGTAATGTATCAGCTAGGTAGGATATGCACGATTTTTCCACTCATTGGTTTGCTTTGGTTTATTTGTTTATTCGACGGATCAACATCATGGCACGTTCTACTTCTAACTCAAGCCTGAGTCCGAGAAATCTCAGCATAGTGCACGAACTCCGTTGCACCGGCGAGGACCTGAAATACTTTGAGTACATTCTAACACCAAATTTTCAGTTACTTTTTTCATTTCAACACAGGCGTCTGATCTTACTACCCAGAGACCAGGGGAAATTAATAGAAGTCCACGTGAAAAAAATCCCAAACTTCACCAGGGTTTAAACCCGGGACTCCAGCACTCGAGGCGGATGCCATATCTTGAGACCGCTCAGCCCCATTTTTCAGTCAAGTATGGACGAAACAATATGTGTACATTGACTTGCTTGTTGTAGACAAAATTATTTGCAGATGTACCTATCTCTAACATATATATTTTTTCTTTTTCTTTCTATTCTGTCAACAAGATCCAAAAGCGCCCATGAGCAGTTCTATTGATGGAACATATCAGCATGGTCCAGCTGCTAATTCGACTGCTTTGCTGCGCTGTGGTGGCGGATTTAAACGTTGCCATTGGTCTAACTGCCGCAGGCACCAGTAGGAAAGAACGGTCAGGTTTTACAACTCAGTGTGCGTTGGTATCTACTCAACGCCGGTACTTATCTGATCGTTATATTCCCACAGTAACGAACCCCAGCTCTACAGTTAGCAGCCAGTTTGTTTGCGCCAACGGTTCTGGAACCATAAACAGAGCACTCTTATGCAATGGTCGAATTGATTGTCCAGATAGTTCCGACGAAAATTCCCCTCAGTGTGACGGCATCTCATGCATCAACTTATTTCCCTGTCTCAACAGAAAATGTGTAGGGTTAAACTCAGTTTGCAATGGTATCAACGACTGTGGAGATAACTCCGATGAAGATCCAACAATCTGTAGGTGGGTAGCTGCGTCAAAGGTTTTTAAATGTGGAACCGGTCAAATATTGAAAGGCGAAAATATTATATGTAATGGTATTTACAATTGCAGGGACAGAACTGACGAACTTTACTGCAGCCTGTGTCCAGAAGGCCTGTCCTGTGATAAAGGACGCAGATGTGTGAAGGTTGAATCTATCTGCGACCGTGTTCAGGACTGCTATGATGGCGCCGATGAGACCTGTTTTAGTCCGAACAACCAAAAATGCAATGTTGGCGATTTTATATGTCCAACTGGCATATGTGTTAAAAGAGATCACATTATGTCAGGTAGTAGCTGCTGGGTTTCACAGAATCCAACCCGAGAAGATAATCAGAAATACTGTAAATCTCCTAATGTATTGTGTGATGGTGGAAATAAATGCATTCCCCCCGAGTACAGATGTGACGGCAAGCGTGACTGTCAGGACGGAACTGATGAAATGAGTCCAGATAAGAATATAATGAGTGACCCGAGTTACAAGTGTGGTAATGGCTACTGTGTCTCCCATCTGGCACTGTGTAATGGCACCAACGAATGTGGAGACAATTCTGATGAAGACTTCGGTAATGGCCAATGTCCCTTCTCGGCTGTCAACTGTAGTTCTGTAGCACATATTCGCCCGCCATATTGGCAATGCGACAATGGCTTGTGTGTACCCCCTTATCAAGTAAACAACGGTATAAACAATTGTGGTGACTCCTCTGATGAAAAGAATTCAACAGTTATCTATTTCACCTGCACTAATGGGAAGAAGCTGCTTCGTTCTTTTCTCTGCAATAGCCGGGACGACTGCGACGACAGTTCTGATGAAAGTGCTTTCTTATGCGCAGTAAACACAACACGACCAGCATGTTCTCAAGCGTCCTGCCCATCTGGCAAGTGCCTGAACTACAGAGACTTCTGCGACGGTTTTAACGACTGTGGAGACAACTCTGATGAACTATCATGTCCACTAACTCCTCCATGTAGACAACACACTTGCCCGTCAGGTAAATGTATTAATGTAGCTGACGTCTGCAATTTGGTCAACGACTGTGGAGATAACTCCGACGAAGCAGGATGCCCCTCGTGTTTCTCTTTCCAGTTCACATGTAATAGTTCAGGGCAGTGCCTTCCCAGCAGTAAGAGGTGCAATGGTGTCAAAGACTGTAGCGACAACTCTGATGAAATTGGGTGTGCCAAGCCATGTTTTGGACACACCTGTCCATCAGGAACCTGCATCCTCAACAGCCAGATGTGCAATGGAGTCAATGACTGCGGAGACAACTCTGACGAATCGAATTGGACTTGCTCCAGCACCATATGTTCCAGTACATTCTGTATATCAGCCTCCTGGACATTCACCCCCAAACATGTCGCTACTGGTATCTCCGTGCCCAGTGGCTTTGTAATATTTGGTGGTGGATGTTGTTTCTGGATAAGACGACGAAGGAGATTGCGAAGCATTCGAGGAACGAGAATGGCACGAGCTGTAGTCACAAATGCCACCACTAACGAGCTGCCCTCTTACGAAGAAGCTGTAGGCAGAACTGTGACTAGTGAAGGAGTCACTAATCCGGCATATGACTCGTCTGCGTCAGTGCCCAAATAAATTGATTAGTTATAGGGTTGTTGAATTGTATACAATTTTTTCTTTGTTTTTGTTTTTTGTAAACTTTTTCTTTCCTATTGCTATGTGCCTATTATATTTGATATGGCAACAGCCGCGATGTTCCCGCTAAATACGACGTGGAAGAGCAAAATCAAGATTGCAGCTAAGGTCAATATAAATATCTCTAAATCACTGGTATTGTCTCTTATTAAATGGATTTTACACCACAATGAAACACGAAGAGCGTCCAGAGTTTGTCGCGTACCCACACTTAACACTGAGAAAAACTCCATTTCCTTGGAGAAATGGATATTACTCATTGTTCCACAACCGTGAGACAAACGATTTGCCAGCTGGATACGAGGATTGCGAATGTGGCTCCAAACATTATTATGTCTCTTTTTGTTTTGGCAAGTATTGTTTCCCTCCACAGATAGATCGAACTGATTAGTCAGTTATTTATTGTGTTTGGTAAATGCTAGAAAGCCTCATTGTTGCTTGTGGTAGTTTGGGCTTTGCCAAATGTCTACAAGGAGTTTAGCAAGTGACTGTTTTACACACATCAACGTGATTGTTATACACTCTCCACTCCTCCCCCATACCCTCTCTCTCTCTCTCTCTCTCTCTCTCTCTCTCTCTCTCTCTCTCTCTCTCTCTCTCTCTCTCTCTCTCTCTCCCGCTCCATATTTACTATAATGACTGCTCCGAAAGATCTAAATAATTAATCAGGTTTGCTTTTTAAATCATAGAACATGTTGTTTCTTTGTTTCCTGTACTGGCTCATACCTTGCTGGATGTCACAGTGGGAAAAGGCTGTTTATGGAGAAAAAGAGGGCGGGTGGGGTGACTTGACCACGTTCAGAAAGGGGGGGGGGGGGGAAGAGAACTGTTGGTTATATTGTGGTCTGTGGTATTGTTTCCTGCAGCATTCATTGATAATAAGTGCTCTCCGCCACGCAGCCCTGATAAGGAAGGGCTCTTGCATTTTGATACGACGACCGCTCCTGACCACTTTCTCGACCGATGACCAAGTCATCCAATGGTGAACCAGAAAGCGACCATGGCGTGGATGGTGTGTGTGTGTAGGTGGGGTGTAGGCGAAGGGCGGGGGTGTTGCCCTATATCCTGGATGCATGCTTGCAGGACGGGATTTCTTGTATTCGAAACCAATTTTTGATGGGTTGTTTTAAAATGCCCCGGCTCCCAGGTCGACCCAGCCTAAAAAGGGTAAAAATGAATGTCCTGATAAGTAAAGTTTACCTTCAAATCGCTTTTACACATCCGCCCTATTTATAAATGTATCATTTTTTTTAAATCCGTTTTTATGCTTTGAGTCGGACAGATGTGTTCAAAACGTATTATTATCCAACACAGAACACGCGTCATCAGTCGTTTTACGCTTGTTAAGCTTTTCTGAGGAGGAGATGGGAGCACCTATGGATTTGTCCGGAGTGCTGTGATGATAATTGTTTGGTAATCGTTTCTAATCACTAATGACTAATCAGATGTGTTAAATATATTTCACGTTATTCTACTTGATTACTTTTCTTTTAAATTAAACAAGGTTACATTATATTTTGCCTAATGTTGTTATTGTGGTAACATTTTCATTAAAGGACTCTTTTCCATGCCTTCGGGCGCATTAGGCACACAGGGCTAGACCTAAATTTTACAGATTAATCGGCGCTTCGTGGATAATGAGGTCAGGATCACGCGACCTCTTTACTTCCCGGGACTTTACCTGGTATCCATTTAAGAATGGGTCGACCTGGGAGCCAAGGTCATTTGTGAAGAAACACAAAAACTTGGGCTCCGTCAGCACCTGAGCCAACGTCCTTCCGATCCGCAGGCGAGCTCCTAACCTCTACACCATGACGGCTCCCTCAGATTTATGTAGTGTTTTGTAACTTGTTCCCAGGTGATGACTTGTTGTTATATGTAGGTGACCGTACGTGTAAAAGCCTCAAGAAAATAAGCAAGTGTAAATTGTATAGTTTTACAAAACAAGCTAAGTATTTGCTGTTCTGATGTTATTTAAATGTTAACATATTCAAGTAAAAGCTGGCGAACCCGTCAAGACAGAACGATATTTTAACAAGTAAAATTAGAAATAATCAGGACTTTTTTTTTTTACTAGAGAAAAAGGTACCACTACTCAACATAAAGTGTCTAAAATATGTGCCGGTACTAACCACAAAGTGTCTGCTACAGTAGCGCTGGAAAAAAAAAAGATGTCTACACAAGGTGTCAGTACTGCGTACAGTTGCGTTCAGCCAGAAAAATGTTCTTAAGAAATAAGAATAAAAGTTACAATAGTAATAATAATAACAAAAATCATAATAATAGTAGCTGCGAAACAATTTTGGGGAAGGCAGAGGCTGGGTTGGGGTAAAACTGATTTGCTTAGCATGTCCCGTTTTTTTTTTAGCTCATAATATTTGTGGACTGTCTGCCTTATTTGTCTCTGGTCGCTATGAGGATTGATTGATTTGTGGACTGTCCTATTTTCAGTCCAAGATATTATGGTCACCTTACTGGTAATAGCAGATGAAAGATGTATAAAAGACGCTAAATGTAGAATAGCTCCAGCAATGACAGCATTTCACATAATGAAAAGTATTCTATGCAATATTTTGTTGTTGTCACATAATACTGGTATCACGTGTCTTTGTTAGGGTCCCCCCCCCCCCAAGGAACTAAAAGACACTCTGAAGTAGTTTTAGTGTTGAGATGTTGGCTCGCATTGGTCTATGCAGTATCCCGCAGCTCCAATGAACATCCAACCTACTTTAGGGTTAGGCTCAAATTATGGCACTACAAAATCAATAAACATTCCTAGGCGTAACTTGGACTGACTTTCCAACAATTTTTAAGCTCCCAGACTGGACAGTAATCCAATGCTAGTCAAATTAACACAGTATAACATAAATTATAACAATACAGCAGATACTCCAGACATTGAAGAACCGTTAAGGATGGACACTAACCATATAATGTGAAATAACAAAACATCATGTTATCAGTGCAACACATGTAGGAAAATAAAGAAAAGAATTCAGAAAGATCAATCAAACCAGCTAAGGGAGCAAGAAACATACTACTTTTTTTTGGATTCCTGGTTAGTCCTTATCAACAGCCATAATCATCACTGCCAAACTGTGGAATTTTGGACCTAGGTTCTGGAACACCGTGTTAGGGTTGACTGCAGGTACTAGCCTACAACACTTATCTTTCCAGGATGTCCTGTTCTGTTAAGATGAGGCTTCCTCCCACATCTGGCAGTGCAGGTATGAAGTCTTGTGAGTTCCATCCTGAATCCTCTATACTATTAGTCAATAAAATTAACAGAACTTTGACTGTCTTCTCTACCACACACAAGCGTTAAGAATTGTCAATGTTATCTCACGAAAAATGGGTCCGTGTTAAAAATTATAGTTCAAGATTACTTGATGCCACCCTCTGGTACTGGCAGTTGTTGGCAACCCCTCACTTAAAAGTCTTCTGCGTTGAAGATACAAGCTGACGTTGCACATCGCATAACAAAAGACAGTAGTCGGCTATGGAAACACTGACATGGTGCATGGACTGGAATGAGTTGTTCGCTTGGGATCCCTCATCCTGTAAGCTGGTTGTGGGTTACCTTGATAGTGATAGGTACTGATCGTCGACTTGGCCTCCAGATATTATTAACATCATGTGACAAAGAGGAGAACCAAACACTATACCATGCTCACCCCATCCATACAACCACATATTATTAGCTCTAGACTTTTATAGACTGCATAAATCTGTAACAATCCCAGGATTCCCATTGACATCTGTTAGGATGTTCCTCGGCTTGTAGGGGAACGCTCTAGTTACGCGTCCTGGTGCAGTTAAAATAGTTTGATAGCCAGGTCCTGTTGCTTCACATAGCCATCTCTGTCATACACTCAGCAGCAGGGCTGAGTGTATGGCATTAATAATTTATAAGTTACTTACCCATGCTCATGGACGTTCCCGTGTAAATCGGTGATTCAAACGTAGGTAAACAGATAGACAGAAAAGGCAGGTGTTCACTTGGTAGTTTAGTCGTGAATGAGTTCAAATTAAGCGTCTTTCCAACTAGAGGCGGGAGAGGATTCACCCACGCCCAAAGCGGTAATTAGGCCAATGGAATTTGGCTTCCCTATAAATAAATCTCCCACCTATATGGGTTACTTTAATATATGTCTTTCCCAGGAGGATTAGGGTCGAATTTAGTTCTTAACCCGACCTCTTGACACCTAAGTACAAAAATATGACTATTTACCTATGGAGAAAAGTCCAACATTTGAAAGTGCTTCATTTACACAGAGGTGACAAGATGTGGGCAGGTCAAAGACGAGAGGCGTGTGGGCTGTCATGTGACATTTGCAGACTGCGACAAGAAAGAAAATTCTCAAGAGTTACATAAATCCTGTTCTGTTACACGCAAGTGAATCATGGACAGTGGGATGATTAGTGGCAATGTATGTAAACGCGGGACGCAGCTATGGTTTTATAAACTAATGGTAAGAATACTTTGAATAAATAAAAAGAGTAATGTAGATGTGTTGAAAGAAACGGACTCACAACGAGAACTGATTGCAAGTACTTGAAGGAGGCAGTCTACATTATTTGGCCATGTTATGAAATGATGACAACTGGAGGACATCGTGGCAGTGGGAAAGTTGGAGAGGAAACGAGTCAAAGACCGAGAGAGAAGATGGTAAACAGTTTAAGGAATTGGAATGGAGGACCGTCCGTATTAGAAGTGATTAAAAGTACCCGCTACAGAAGGCTGTGAACAGTTATGACTACCAATACCACATGACAAGGATTATAAGAAGAAGAACTCTATAGAACAGAATGGAGATAAAGACTTGGAGCCTGTGTGACATAAATTGACAAAACGATAATGATGATGATGATGATGATGATGATATACATTTTTTGAAAAGTTTGCATACACTTTGGGTTTTCCACTTTTGTACAAGTGG